AAGATTATGAGCAAAGGTGAGGCAGCCGCAGTGAGAATGGACTGGGCTATGAGAAACTCATCTGTGGAGCAAAGGGTCCTTGTTGGGGAAGAATAGAATATAAAGTTAGATGAATAGGGAAGGATGGATCATAGAAGTCTCATATTCCAGGAATACCAATCAAGTAAATCCAATATGCAGAATCCAGGTTCATGTAGGCAATGAGAAATGATCTGGGATTGAAACAGGCAATTAAGAATAAAAGTCTAATTTTAGGAAGATTTATTTGGTGGTAGTGTTTGAAATGGATTACCAAGGAGAAGACTAAGGACAAAGAAGAAGAAGGAGAAGGAGGAGGAGGAGAAGAAGGAGAAAAGAAAACTGTCAAAACCCAAAAACAATGGGGTGCCTGGCTGGTTCAGTAGGTAGAGCATGCAACTCTTGATCTCAAGGCTGTGAGTTCAAGCCCCATGATGGGCATTGAGCCTACAAGAAAGGAAGAAAGGAAGGAAGGAAGGAAGGAAGGAAGGAAGGAAGGAAGGAAGGAAGGAACAAAGAAACAAAGAAAGAAGAAAGGAAGAAAGGAAGAAAGCAAGCAAGCAAGCAAGCAAGCAAGCAAGCAAGCATCCATGCTTCTTTGAGCATCCACTAAACATCTGACTGCATACAAACTTAACAGACATAGCCCCTTGCCTGCCAGGTCAATGGAGAAGACATTAATTAATCCCATAGTTACCTATTAAGGTCCTACTCTATGTCAAGGATCATACAAGGCTCTAGGGACACAGTGAAAGGCAAAACAAAGTCCCAGCCCTCATTGAAGCTTAGCATGAAAGACAACACAAAAGCAAACCAACAGTTACATCAATATAAAGTCAGGTACTAAGTGTATGAAGAAAATAAGTAGGGAATGCTGGGATAGAGCCGTCAGGAAAGGCCTCTCTAAGAAAACAGCACAGGATTTCAGGCCCAGAGAATGTAAATGGGTAAAATGGAGATGTCGCTGCTAGCCACAAGGATACCGAGGTGACTTCGTTTATAAAAGTGCAGAGACTATCAGGAGTCTTGTTTAAAGTGTGATAAAAGCAGGAGATCCACACAGAAATGTCTAGCCTCTAGAACTCTAATCTACAAAAACAGAGAAAGATAAAGGTTAGAATGTAGATTTAAAAATCATCCATTAAGGGCCTCCTGGGTGGATCCATTGGTTAAGTGTCTGACTTCAACTCAGGTTACGATCTCAAGGTTTGTGAGTTCAAGCCCCGCATTAGGGCCAGTGCAGAGCCTGCTTGGGATTTTCTGTCTCTTCCTCTCTCATTCTGCCCCTGCCCCACTCGCTGTCTCTCAAAATAAATAAATAAACTTTTAAAAATAAATAAATAAAATAAAATATGTTATTCTAAAAACATATAAAAATAAGATAATAAATAAAAAATAAAATAAAAATCATACATTGGTATTTGAGAGATGAGAAACCTCTCTAAAACCAGAGTACCTGAGATGAAAGTAACTCTAACAACTGAGTGTAAGATTTACAAATGATTTTATTCTGTCTTCTATAATGGATGATCCTCTCCCTCCTGCCTCTGGAATACCAGGGGTGGGCGGTGACTTTGGTAGGCAGCAAGGAGCTGGTAACAAAATAATACTACTAATCATTGAGACTCATATACAACCAATCATCCAAAAGCCTTGGTCTACGGTTCCTTCAATGTCCAAGGCACAGTTGTTGGTACAGCTCTATCCCTCTTCTGCACTTATCACTAGGACTCTCTGTTGTCCCTTTGTGATTGTTACCTCTGCAGATGGTTGTGGGTGTTTTGTTTTTTTAATGTTTATTTATTTTTGAGAGAGGAAGAGAGACAAAGCATGAGTGGGGAAGGTGCAGAGAGTAAGAGGGAGATACAGAATCCAAAGCAGGCTCCAGGCTCTGCACTGACAGCAGAGAGCCCGATGCAGGGCTCGAACTCACAAACCATGAGATCACAACCTGAGCTGAAGTCAGATGCTTAACCGACTGAGCCACCCAGGCGTCCCGGCTCTGGGTGTTTTAATGTTTGGGAGAATGGGATTTGGAAAGCAAAATAAACAAAAAATTTTTTTAACTTTTTTTTAAATGTTTATTTATTTTTTGAGAGAGATGGGGTGCAAGAGGGGGAGGGACAGAGAAGAGAGAGAGACACAGAATCCAAAGCAGGCTCCAGGCTCTGAGCTATCAGCACAGAGCCTGACATGGGGCTTGAACCTATGAACCATGACATCATAATCTGAGCTGAAGTCGGACGCTTAACCAACTGACCCACCCAGGCGCCCCTGTAAACAAAAATTGTTTAAGTTTATTCATTCATTCATTCATTCATTCATTTAGAGAATGAGTGGGGAGGGGCAGAGAGAAGGAAAGACAGAATCCCAAGCAGGTTCCAGGCCATCCACACAGAGTGCTACGTGGGGCTCAAACTCAAGAACAATGAGATCATGACTAGAGCTGAGATCAGGAGTCAGATGCTTAACTGACTGAGCCACCCAGGCACCCCCAAAATAAACACATTTTAAACTAGCTTTTCCAACCTTCCTAGAAATGGCAGAATTAAATGTTAGGATAGTCTCAAGGGTAGGGTGACCAGCTCTCCCAGTCTACCCAGTACTTGCCCACTTTCAAACCTGTTAAGTCCTGCACTCAGGGAAAGTCTCCAGCCCTAGGCACACTGAAATGATTGATCACCCTGTAGCTGGTCTGGCCCTCGGAGCTATAACCTGTGTCTGACCTGCGTGATGCAACACAGGCTTTACATCTCTAAAGTGACATCAGCACAGTTAAAGCACATGCTTAGTTTCCCAAGCCCTACCCAACCCGATACTCTAGAAGTTGGGTTCTCTTGCTCCACTAGACAGAGAAGCTGTCAGAAATTCCTAAACATGAGGTGGCCCTGGATTCCTCAGCCTTTGGTTCCCACCGTCTCCTACTCAGGCCCACCTACCACCTAAACCAGAAGCACCAAATGCACTGGGCAACCCCAATCCATATCACCTGCGGCTGTGTCTGTCCCCACCTGGCCGCCAAGCTGGTGGAGTCTGGGGGTTAAACTCAGATTATCAAAGGTGGGGTCTGGGGGTTAAACTCAGATTATCAAAGAGGGGAAGAGAGGAACTCATCTGAGATGGTGACGTGTTCTACCACAGCAAATCACAAGAAAGGGGAACTGTAGGTAAATTATTGTCTGCTGACCTTGGAAGACATGCGGTTTTCGTCTTTGAGTTACGGAAATACCGGAACTGCTTACCACTGAGTCAATTTCGGAGTTTTGGGTCGAAAGCTGGGCTGAGTCACCTTCAGAGAAGAAACCAGGTGAAAGCTCTGATATTAAGGTACATATCATACACTCTTCCAGAGGCCACAATGTTTGGAACACTCACAAATCTTAAGAAAGCTCATGTATCATTTCTGCCAGATTATTAGAGACTTCTCCAAAATTATAAGGAAGATTCATAGAAAATGCCAAGATTGATATTAATCTCAAATTGGTCCCTTGTTGCAGAAATTTCCTGACTGGCAACATTAAAAGAACAATAAGCACAGGACACACCCCTATTTGGCCCCATGTCACCTTGACTGCTTGTGTGCAGACTAAAACGTAGAATTTTACAAAAGCTATTTAAGTAACCTTGTCCAATCTGCATGCAGAGCTTATTACCTGAAATACTAATAGCCAAGGCAAAGGGTAGTTATTGTTGCCTTTTTTAACCAAATTGGGAAATTGCCTCAGTCCTTCCCCCTGGCCCAAAAAAAGGATTACTGTTAAAATTTGCAAGACCTCAAACACTTGATCTCTGAAGCCTCCCTTTACCCAGTCCCTCCTCACAGGACTCGGCCTATGACAGGCTGTTGCAAGATTGCATCACTGACCTTTACAGTTTTCTGGCCAGTCTGATTTCCCCCTCCTCCTCCTAACCTCTCCCTTCACTGCTTGCAGCCCTTTGGCCCACTTGCCTCTGCTTTTCCCCTCTTGCTAGCTAACTCTGGTAAATGGATAACCAAAGCTTTATCCTTACACCCTCTACTCCAAGGTGATGATGTTTTCACCGCAGCCAAAATGTATCTTAATCTCCTCACGCTTGCTTCCAAGAGTGCGCGCTCGCTCTCTCTCTCTCTCTCTCACTCTAAGTCTTACTTAAGTAATCTCTACTCCTAAAGTCTGGCTCAAACTCACGACCCTGCGAGTAAGAGTTGTGCCCTCTTCTGACTGAGTTAGACAGCCCCCCCACCCAAGAATTCTCTCTTTAGCTCTTACCCAAACCATCTATTCTAACCCTTCTGCCCCTATTTCCATAAGCTGAACTGGCACAGTGGTATTTCACCCCCAGACCCAGGGAAGTGGCAAATAATTATTGAGAGCATAAACTATTATGTGCATTCCAGACCAGCAGAGGAAATTTACCAACAGCCCCTTCCACCTTGACGTCACCTGGCCCCCAAACTGCACTTCTCGAGGAGGAGTGGGGATCACTGGGTTCCATGGCAGTTCTCTGACACAAACAAAGACGCATCACACATCAACTGCAATAAAGGACACCCTCGATACATAGTTAATCTATCAAGCGACCCTAGCAATGCAAGCACCTGTGAATAAAACCAGTCAGGCCGGAAAGAAACACAAGCACACGCGGAACTTGGAGACCCGTTCTGTTCCTTACCAGGATCCCTCCCCAAGCCTTCTCCCCTCCGATCCCACACCTGTGGGAAGACATAACCCTTAGGAATAAAAACTAAAGATTTTCCGGTTGGGTAGAAACCCCACCCCACCTCAACCCATGTCCTCCGAGGGGTTCCTCTCGGGCCGCCCCAGACAAGGGAAGCTGTGCACCCACTCACACTACTTAAGGAAGAGTCACGTCGGAAATGCACGCGATACCCAGGGTTCCGGGTCCTCCTCACCCTTGTGCGTACCCGGAGTGAGACCTCCTGCCTCCCGGCCGCCCCCCACCCCGCACGCCCACCAAGGTCTCCCCCGCCCAGGACTCACACCGCCCGGGCTTGCACTGCTCGCGGTCGCCTCCCCTCGGGCCTTCCCGGCCCCTCCCCCTCCCCGCCCCTGGCCCCCGGAGCCTGAGAGGCGGGTCTCAGAGGAAAGATATAAGCGGCCCCGGGACGCTGCCAAGGTGCCAGCTGCGGAGTCTCCACCTGGAAGAGCCGCGGCTGCCCAGGAGGAGAACGCAGGGGCCGGCCGGACCCCGGACGCGCTGACCGCCCCCCGCCCCCGCCTCCCCGCGCTGCCTCCGGCTCTCGCCGCGCCTGCCAGGTGAGCCCCGCGGGGCAGAGCGGGGTTGGGCAGGGCCCCGGGCGGGTCCCCCGTGCTGCGGGACACGCGAGAGAGGGGTGCTCGGGAAGGCTGGAGCCGTCCTAACGTGGCTGACCGGCCCCCTTCCCTGCGCCGCTCCTCCCGCAGGTCACCCCCGTGCCCGAGATGGAAACGGTGCAGGAGCTGATCCCGCTGGCCAGGGGGATGATGGCCCAGAGGCCCAATCGGAAGCTGGTGAAGCTGTACGTGCTGGGCAGCGTGCTGGCCTTCTTCGGCGTGGTGATCGGCCTGGTGGAGACGGTGTGCAGCCCCTTCACGGCCGCCAGCCGCCTGCGGGATGAGGAGGCCGCGGTGGCCGAGCTGCAGGCCGCCCGGGAGCGGAAGGTCCTGGAGACCCGGGCCCTGCTAGAGAAAGGCAGGCAGCAAGAGGCCGCCCTCCGCAGCCGGGCGCTCTCCAACCGGCTGCACGCCTCCTAGGACCCTTGGGAGCTGGCGGAGGGAGGGGACAGATAGCCTGAGCGTGAGAAGAGCGCGCGCGCGTGGGGTCAGGCCCAAGTGCGAGAGAGCAGGAGTCCTGTGCTGTTTGGACTTGCATCTGAGAAGCCACTGACTTCTAGAACTGAACTACCACACGGATCCACCGAAAGAAGTTTGGGATTGAGTTTTGCTGCTGTGCAGCATTGCAGGAGGACACGTGCAAAACTATGTGTCTTTGAGCTATCTGAGTGCACCCACCATTTGCACTAGGGTGGAAGGAGGGGAAATGCTTTTTATATCATTATTATTATTATTATTATTATTACTACTACTACTACTACTACAGTGACCATCATTTTGCATTTTGAAATAAAAATCTTTTTTATACTGTATCTCAGTATATGATTCCGTGAGCATGTTTCCCTGTGTGCACAGGTAACAAGAAGGGTGAGCAAGCTGGTGAAGGGGCGTTAGCTCTGTGGGGACAGCAGCTCCCTGAAGGTGAGGCAGCATTTCCTTCACTGTTAGGGACCCTGATATTCATATTACATGCTTGTAGGTGTGCTGAGGATTTAAGTTTCACGTTAGGGGTGGCAGGAGAGAAACTTTTGTACCTCGCAGCAGACTTAGCATTTTAAGATCAGAAGACAAATCAACTTCTGAGCTACAGTACACTAATAGATACAGATTAGCTCTAGGGTAGAAAGGCTATTTGCCACCTCACACCTGACCAGAGGCTCCTATGACTGATAACTTTCTTCTATTTTTTAAAATGTTTTTTTTTTTTTTTTTTTTTCCGAGAGAGAGGGACACACAGAATCCGAAGCAGACTCCAGGCTCTGAGCCATCAGTACAGAGCCCAAAGCAGGGCTCAAACTCAGGAACCCCAAGATCATGACCTGAGCTGAAGTTGGACACTTAGCCCATGGAGCCACTCAGGCACCCGTCTTCTAACTGTATCATAATAAAAGGGAAGGGAATGAAGCCCCAGCTTCCTAGCTGGTAGGGATAGGGAAAGTAAGTTCCCAAGAATGGCTAACTGGGTCTCTAACATTAGCCAACCTTCCTCCTTATCAACTCACATCATAGTAAGAAGCTCTGGGTTAGAAAGAGAAAAGACTGGTTAACACCTATCTGAGTCCTCTTCCTCCAGGGAAAAAATATAATCTTGTGATCAAGGTCCTTATCTTCCTCTTCCTCTTTAGTGTTGGTTGAAATTATCAAGTCCTGAGCAAATCATAGGTTCTTAATAAATACTTGATTGTTCAAGTAATCTATTTATGAAGTTAGAGCACTGATACTCAATGGAACAAGAAGTAATTTTGTCCTGTCTCCCCCCTCCCCCGCCCAGGAGACATTTATGGTTGTCTGGTAGGGAAGGAAGGGCATTACTACTAGCATCTAATGGTTTAGGGCTGCTAAACATCTTATAATGCACAGGCCCCCTTGCCCACTACAAAGAATTCTCCAGTCCAAAATGTCAATAGGGCTGAGGTTGAGAAACCCCTGGTTAAAGGCAAGGAAGAAAAAATGGTTTGCTTAATAGTTCCAGAATCCAGGTTTTGAGGTGGTCTCGAAAAAACTATGGTTGTCACCAAATATAAGTCTCTCTCCCAACACAGGGACAAAAATGGTCCTTGGCCCTATCCTGATTGGCAACTTTATCATCAACCTAGGAGAAATGACAGAACGTATACTTACCAATTGTGTTGCTGATGCAGAGCTGAGACAGTGGAGTCGGGATTCAAAACGACTCAACAAAGTTAGAACCATGCACTGAAGCTAACCAATTGAAACTGAACAGGGAAGAAGAGAGAGTACAGAATTAATTCCAAAAATCCAGTTGCATGGCCACAGAATTGTAAAGGTTTATTCTAGCAGCAGATCATGTGAAAAAGACCTAGGTGTTTTCACTAATTACCAGCTCAATATAAGCTCAATATAAGCCAACAAGGGCCTGCTGGAAAACCTACCATCTTATTAGTAGCAGAGGAATGTCATGAAAAGGGGGCACAGAGGTTTTGTTTTACTTTATAATCTGGCAGGCAGGAAACCAAAGAACTTAAATAAGATTGCCTGGATTTGCTTAGGTTTGCATTCTGACTCCTCCATTTGCTAGCTTTAAGACCTTGAACAAATTACTTAAAAATTCTCTGCTTCAAGGTAGTTAAGTTCCTTCCCCATCTATGCAATTGTGTCTTCCTTGTGGGATAATTTCACTAATTAAATGAGATAATGCATGTAAAGTGCTTACAGCACTACCTGGCTTACAGTACGCTTACAGCCAATGAGAGTTATTATTATATTTCAAGAGACACCTGATAAACAAAAACCTTAGACCAGAGTGACTTAGGGATAAAAAATCCAGAAACCTTGTCACCTACAGAACAATTGGATAGACCACTAGAGAAGTTACAATACAATACTGTCACATAACAATTGCCTCCAAATATTTAAAGGGCCGCCATATTGATCCAATAAAGTCAGTAAAATAGATTTATTTGATGTGGCTTGAAAATGCTAAAAGTAGCAAATAGAAGTACAAGGAAGCAGATCTTAGGTCATTAAGAAATCAGAATTGTCCAAAATATGAATTTCTTTGTGATGTACCTCATTACTTAAAGCATGCAAGCAGAGATTGGAAATCATCTGCGAGGGATGGTATAAACTGGAAAGGAGATTTCTGAACTTGGAGGGAGATTAGTCTTATGACCTTTGAGGTCCCAACCAATTATAAGATCCTGGGATTCTGTTTAGTACAATCACAAAATAGAGGATGTATTTCCTGTTCCAGCCTGCTTCTCTGAACCCATCCCTCCCCCACACCACACACACTGTCTCTATGTTTCCAGTGTCTCTGTGTTCTTTTTCTCAGCATGTCGCCAAATATTTTCCTTCTTGCTGGATGACTATCAAAAATAATGAATTTAATTCCAAAAATAAACTATTTCTTGATTAAGTTATCCAACTAATGCTTTTGCTTCTTAGGAAACACCGTAACCAGTGGTTGAATCTCATGGTTCTCAAACTTCATCATAGTGAAACACTTATTAGTCATGTTGCTCTTTACAAAACACCACAAAACTCTGATCTATTAATATAAGTAAATATGTAATTTTATGTCGCATCAAATTTCAACTTACATTATGTTCTAGTGAAAACAAATAGTTGGTATCAACTGTGAGAATATTAAAAAGTTGCCACAGGGGCACCTGGGTGGCTCAGTCGGTTAAGCATCTGACTCTTGGTTTGGGGCTCAGGTCATGATCCCACAGTTAGTGGGTTAGTGAGTCCAAACACTACATCAGGCTCTGCGCTGACAGCATGGGGCTTGCTTGGGATTCTCTCCCCTATCTCTGCGCCTCCCTGGCTCTCTCTCAAAATAAATGAATAAACTTAAAAAAAAAAAAGTTGCAGGGCACCTAGATGGCTCTGTCGGTTAAACTTCTGACTTCAGCTAGGTCATGATCTCGCAGTTCATGAGCTCAAGCCCCACATTAGGTTCTCTGCTGACAGCTCTGAGCCTGGATGGAGCCTGCTTCAGATTCTGTGTCTCCCTCTCTCTCTACCCCTCTACCACACATACTGTCTCTCTCTCAAAAATAAATAAACATTAAAAAAAATTTTATGTTGCCACATTCTTTGGACAAGTTTGATTGTTCCTATAATCATGGTATCCAGAATCTTTTAATCTATTGGCTCAATCAATGACCACCCACCTCAGTTAACACTCTTTTACAAAGCCAATCAGTCAGTGATAGTCCCTAACTTCTGAGGGTCAACCAACCAGTAACTGACTCACCCCATAAATACATTTCAGAGTGCTGGGCAGTCAACAAGTAAATATACTTCTATATATGATGTCAGCCTACTTAAATGTGGGGAAGTGAGCCAATCTCTGAATTTCTTGTTTCCCAAAAGACAACACATGGGCTTACTGGGTTCATTGTACCCAAATTCTATCTGTCCTTCCTGTCTGCTGCCAGCTGAGTCAGTTCCAAAAATAATCTGAACTCCAGTGGTTTCACTGACTTCTCACCACTTATATGATTTATAACCAAGTAGATCTTCATATAAAATCGTTAGACCACAGTGTTTGTATAATTTGATATTTTAGTTTACAGGTGTACATGCTAGTTAATAATTATATCTAGGCCTTCGTATAAGGTCATTAGACCTTTGGTTTGGGAGATATTCCACTGGATAACAATTTTTATCATTAAACTGCTTATTCCCCTGCTGCTCCTTTTCCCTTTGTTTTTGTTTGTCTCTGGCATAAAGTC